AGTGAGCAGGAAGGCTTTTGCAGGAACTCTGTATGCTCCGTGTTTGACTGAGCTGACAAACTCCAGCACAATACCTCTTCTATCAATCATCAAGCTTCCCTAGACTCAGCTAAGGGCTTCCTGAAAGGGGAAAGGGAAAGGGCAGCTTGACTTTTTATTAGCCACTGATAATTCTTATGGAGTCTGATAGAGAAACCTTCATGGCATGTCAAGAAAAATGTCATGTGCTCTCCCTGCCAAAATCTCAGTTATTGTTGTGTTCATCATATGTAAAACGTGATACACTCTGGGACAGCACTGACAAAAAGTATTTGTAATACAAAGGTCCTGTAGGATTGCAATAATATGACTGATGTGGACAAATGTGGTAATAGTTCTTTCACTTTTGCTTTCATTTTACTTTTTAATGCAACTGTTGTTAATTGTGATTTTATAGTAAAACTCATTACGCGATTCTGAAAACAATCTTAGTAAACCACTGTGGTTTTCCATTACCATGTTCTTACTGAAAGGTGATCTTCTACCTGCCGATGGGATATTTATTCAAGGAAATGATCTGAAAATTGATGAAAGCTCTTTAACTGGAGAGTCAGATCAAGTCCGCAAATCTGTTGACAAAGACCCAATGCTCCTGTCAGGTAAATCTGCCCAGATTCTTGCTGACTTATCTTTTATGCACTGCTTTGTTCATGTTTTCTGTTGTTTTGTTTTTCCACACCAGCAGGTTTTGATAACCTAAATACAACCGATCTATTGAACACAGACACTGGCCTTGGCTGTTTGTCGTTCAGAAGACATGCTATTGCTCTTTGATTGTGTGCAATTATTTCTAATGATCATACTTATTTTATAAAGTGAGAAAGTAATGAGACATTTTCAGAGGAAAAGGAAAGTAGCACTTAGGGAAATAACAGTTGTTTCAATTCATTGTATGCTAGTTTTGATTTAACCATTAAACTTCAAAGCTTTTAAAAATATCTTTAAATTTAAAAATATTTTTAAAATATCTTTTTATCTATATTTTTGTGTATACTAGATACAATAGAAAAAGAAACTACAGCATAAGAAAGAAATGGATGTATTAAAATATTGTGGCCTTGACTTTTGTCGTAAATTCAGGCTATTAGTAATATTTTACTTTTGTAAAATAATTCCATATAGTAAATCAGCTAAACAGAATGTGATTTTTAAAATTCTAATAAAGATAGTTTCTAAATAGGTTGGTTGTCAGTAGATTCCAGCTGGGATGTGATTGCAAAATAACAGCCTGGTGATCTTGTAATGAACATCAATGTGTTATAACCTGTAACAGAGGTTTTCAAATACATCTGAAATTTTATTCATGGAAAGGATCCTCTTTGTTCTCTGGTTGTACAGTCAGCCAAGAGTCGTCCCAAACAGAGTATTTCTGTTGCAGTGCAGCAGGTAAGTACACATTCCTGCAGGAGTCCTGCCCCCATTCTGCCTCACTGAGCTGGGGCTTCCCAAGCACCAACTTGAGAGATGCTTTTATTCAGAAGAAACAAGTAGTGATGAGTAGGGATGTGAAATTTTTTAGTGAATTAACAGTGCACATCCTTTTGAAATTTAAAATCAGATAACTAGTCCACTGACTATGAGATTATGAGTGTTCATTATGTAAATGATGGAATTCTTGTCTGGTAAGAAAAAAAAAATTCAGATTTCAATGAAAAGGTGGCTGCATTGCTCATGTCATTTGTGGACTTGCCATTGCCCCAGACTTCATGTTACAAAAGACCATGTTAATTAATTTGGACTTTAGCAAGCTTCAAGCATCTTCCTACCTGAAAGTGTGTATTAAAAATTATTTTATTCAAACGACAGAAAAAAAATTCCTGTCACCTCTGAGAAACAAATTTCTTTTGCTCTTTTAGGAAAAAAACATTTCCTTTGCTTTCTGGTATTCTGGTATTTATTTGTTAAATGTTCTTGTCTCACTGTCCCTGCCTAAATGTATACCTGTTGCTTTTTGTATTGAAAACCCCCAAGGTTTCCCAAGCTATAAAAGCCTGAATAATATGTTTGCCCATGTTCAGCAAAGGCTAACAAATATTAGTAGAGCAGCTAAAACTCCAAAGTCTGCACTGATGCAGAGAAAATATGATGAAGAGCTCAGCATTTGCAGGCAGCACACATCTAGAAATTATGAATAGTGGGGACATTGCCACTTTTGAGTTCTTGGTGTCCCCTTGGCTCTTTGATGTATTTACAACGTACCTTAAGGAGGTTTTCTGAATTTCTTGAGTACTGTATGAAACTACTGACTGTTATTTTTGCTAGATTTACAGTAATTTGCTTTATCCTAGTAGTGCAGATATTTAAGTTGAACTTGATTGTAGATTAAGAATTCTCTTGTAGCTGCTTTCCAGCATGTAAACAGTCAGGCCTGCAGCGGTATTTTGTGGAACGCTGGCTGTTCCTAACAAAATTTGTACTGCAGTCTTATCCTTGAAATATTTTCATTCTTTTTCCGTTTCTTTTTTCTTAGCTGGTAACTGTATTGTTTTGTAAATAACTGGCATGAAATTTTAATTTTTAACAGATAATTGTGATAATATTTTCTTTTAGAAAATTCTATCATGAAATATCATAGACTTCTATCAATTAAAATATCCTGTTGCTGAATTCTAGAGGTTTTCCAATTATGAAGTTGCCATTGATTCATATGTTCTCACATATTCCTAAATTAAATTAGGTCTTTTTGAATACCCATAGATTTTAGTGGTGGCTGCAAAAAAAACATGGCAGTATTGCTTTGAAAGGCATGGTGGGAAAAGTCAAGTTAGGAGAAAAGATGGGTTTGGTTTACTTCCCAAAAACTCAAATTTTTGCTATAAGGAGGCAAATTTATTTTTATGTTTTTATTGTTACATAACAATTATTAAAGAATTATTATTAAATAATTATTGTTAATAATAATAATAAATTAAACAAAACGTATACTCTTAATTTTTTTCTGCTACTTGTGATGACAAAGTAGGTGAAGAATTAATGAGATTTTACACCTTTGTTCCATACCTATATTAATGAATTTTTACACATACTGTGTTAGAAAATCCCTGAACTCCATTTGCTCAGGATGCCTTCCTGAAGCCAATGCCTTCTTCCATAGATGCAGTGCAGAGTTTAATCCCAGTGATGCAGGAGCTGATGTGCCCAGTGGAAATTGTTAGTAGTTCAAAAACCTGGAAACGATCATGGCTTTCAGGGTTTAAAAAATGAGTTCCTGTTGGGTGTTATCCTAGACCTATATTTTTATAAAAGTTGTTTAAAGAAAAAAACCCTGAACCCCCAGCAAAAACATCAAACAGGCCTTAAATTTTCCTCTTGTCTTTGCATCTGAAGACAGCAGTAAGTTATGTCCAGGCAGGCTTTTGGAATTTTGACCAAGGTTGTCAGGATGTTGTTTGCCACTGTTCTCCCTTAATTATCTGTTGAAAATGAGAACAGTTCAGGTTTAATGAGGAATGACCAAAAAAAGGTAATATTTGAATTACAGCCATAGTTTGTTTTCTGAGTCTAAATCTGGTGAACAATAAACACTACGATTCAGGAAATATTACTTTCACCATTGGCACCTGAAACAACATTTAAAAAATATTCATTCAGTTCGATGACATAATTAAACTAAATGAGTTTCTGTGCTTAATATCCTCTTTAATCATCCAGATAGTCATTTACTGTACTTGAGAAGCCATGCTAAGAGTGCAAGTGCTGACTAAATCAGATGGTTCATTTCCATCTGTATGTAGCACATTTGGTACCACCTAGGAAGTCAGAAATGGAAATACGGTCTGATAGACCTGAAACTAAAAGAAGCAGTTTCTCATTATAGTTTCACTGTACTTTTAGTTTTAGTTCATTAACAGAGATTTGTGTGCATGGTGTAGCATAAGCCATTGTATCAAAAGTCGTCGGCTTAAAGGAGACAGTGCTGGCTTTAAATTTCTTTGCATGGATGTGTATCAACCAACAGATGAGGAGAGCTTGGGTAACCAAAGTGACTGCCACTCAACTGTCCTGATTGAAGCTGATGTGCCCTTTAAGTTTTGTATAGTTAAAAGTTCACAGAAATTCATTATTCCTAAATGCGGAAGTTTTGAATATGAGTCTGGCCTCAGTATTGCACACAGTGAGGAGTTTTGGGGTACTACATATTATAATAGTTAAGATTGTAAAAAATACCTTATGAGGCTTACGATTTTTTTTTTTAAGTTATTTAGATTACTTTGATCAAGGTATGAAAGAATTAAATGGAGGAGCTCACTTAGTGTAACTTTTACAGATCTGTGTTTCTATCAGTGCACAAAACAGATCTGAAACAGAGCAAACAGAGCTTATTCAAATACACAAAAGAAAGCTCTTGGTCATGGTGCTTTGTTAGGTTTTGGAAATAAAAAAGAAGCTTGATTGAGGAATCAGGTCAGTTATTGCCTGGAGGAAAATAGATCTGATTCTGTCTTAATTCCTTGCCAGAAAATATTCCAAGCTAGGCTTCTGGCACAGCAGAATTCTTCAGAACCAAGCAGCTAGCTTCAGAAGATCAAAATTATTTGGATTTGTTGAAATTACTTGTAGATGAGTTGGGGTTTTTTTTGTTTGTTTGTTTTTCCAAAGGATGTTCTGATGGTTCGTTCACTTTTTTATTAGCTTAAGTTACCACTTAATAATTGCAGTGACTAAACCAGTTGTTTAGATATGCCAATAGAGAATTTTTGTTCGCCAGGGTTGCTGGAAGTAGCAAAACAGTATAAGACCCCCAAAGTAGTATGCTCTGGTGTTCTTTTTTTCTTTTCAGCACTACTTCCAATGTATTTTACTAGTACTATTATTAGCTTTAGGGATTTCTGAGCAGTCTTGTGTTTAGCTGCATTTTTGTCTTACAGATATGTCCTGCAATAAGGTCCTTATCTGTCTACTCCATTTCTCTCTTTTCTTATTATACTAGATTTCTTCCTTTTCTGTCTTGGAGTAGTCACCATTTATCAACTTCAAACATAATAGTCTGCATGTTAAACAATATGTTTTACTAACACTGAAAATTTAGTCCTGAGAAGGAAAGAAGTCAGTAGAATTGTTCAACATGAAATTGAAATACATGCTTGGTGTACAGATAAGTGAAAAACATGCCTTCCTGCCAGAATTACAGTTACATAACAACAACTGATTGAAGTTAGAGAGCCCATTTCTTTATTCAAGCTAATGTAATTATAGCACCATTTAAATGATGAAAATGCCAGAGTTAGGTGGAAGAAGGTTCAGCTCTTTGGTTTAACTTACAGGCTGAAAAATTTCTCTAGCAGTACCAGTAGATCATCTGATGATAAATTAGTACCTGCTCTGAAACATGCTTTTGTGTGCACCTTAACAGTTTTGAATTATGTTTTACAAGCCTAATGTTAAGGAAAGGTTCAGAAAGGCACTGCAAATTAGGGTATTTTTGCCCTTTCCAGGTGTGCAGAAATAAGCTTGGAATCTGGTGGGTACATATTTTCTTAATAAAGCTGGTTTTGAAACATAGGAGTACATGCCATTTTTTGGAGGATATTTGTACGCACCTTTGTAGTCTAATGCAGAAGATTTCTTCAAAACAAAGCATAGGAATACTAAAAGCATGTTCTTAATTAAAATATATTTTAAATGGTGTTAAAGGTGATTTCTATAAGTTTCTAAGTTAAGTCTCAGCCATTTTCCACTTTATCTGAACCAGTACATCTAAATGTATTCTGGTTTTAAAAGTTCTTCTCTGTTCCTTCCCGCTTGAATATAGCTAGCTTTTTGTTGTTTGGCAGGTGGTCCTAATTTGTATGTTTGTGTTGTTTTGCTGTATCATACGAAAAAAAGCAAATTACTTTTTAAGGAATCAAATTTTATCTCAGAAAATTCTTAATGCAATGAGAATGTCGTGCTTTTTTTTTTTTAATTTTAAAGACATCTGACTATTAGTGCATTTTTGTTTTTATTTAGCTTATTTCTGCTGAAATTTTCTTGGTGTTCTAATGAGATATTTATGCTCTCAAATTAGGCTTAGTGTTGACAGATGTTCTCTCTGTTCTTTGTTTCTGTTTTCCTTATAAGAACATGGGAGATTTTGATTATTTAGGGAAAGCCATTTTGATTATAAATAGATAGTTGCATTGCTTAGAATGTTCCAGGACTGACTGGATGAGCAGTAATAAGAAAGTGCAATTTTCAAAAAATTGGTTGCACGTGTGTGTAGGTACAAAAATATTGATCTATTTAAGGATGCGGGTCCATATACCTTTCCTTTTTTTTCATATTTTGAGATAAATTAATGAAATTAAGTTATGTATATGAGGACTAACCCAATAAAATGTTTGTTTTTTTTTTTAAAAAGGGAGAGGAAGAAGAATCTTTGCATGGCCATTTAGGTTTAGTAGACCTGAACGCCCAAGAAAATTCTCCATAAGAAATTACATTCCTCATTTGCTCAAGGCAACAGGCAGATGATTCAGTTAGTTAAAATCCATTTTGCAGGAGTTTTCAGAAAACTTGTTTGATGATTTTTTTTTCTTTTTTACTATGGCTTCTGGCATGCCCTGCTGTGGTACATTTCAGAACTACAGGCATCAGTGAACAACTTGCCTTTAGTTTTAAAATATTGAGTGGTAGATAATGATGGTAGTGGGTCAGTGATAGGGGTGAGATATTGAGAATAAGCATACTAGAATTTTTACCTCAGCCACAGAATAGGTTCAGATGAGTCAGTTAGTCTCTGCCTAGTTGATGCAGATGCAGAACGAATCAAACAGTGATGAAAACAGGTAAATGGAGAACCTTACATTTATGGCTAACTTGGTATTTGAAAATCTGTACAATGTATCTTCAGAAGCAGGGAGGGGATCTAAGGAAAGATCCCCCAAAGGAAAATGCAGTCACTGGACTTTTTGCTGATTCCATCTGTTTTCATTCATCTGATGTCCCAAAGTTCCAAGTCTGGAGTAATGACTGATCCTAAATGTAATTTATTTAAAACTATAGTTTAAAACCAATTGTTAAATAACAGTACTTTCTGAGCACATTGTAGTTAACCGTGTGTCCACCCACTGTTCACTTAGAGGTATAAATACACGCTTGTCTTTTTTTAAAACAATTATTTTTTCTCCAGGCTACCAGTTTGTGTATTACAGTCTATTGTCATAGTTTCCAATTTACTTCCTTCTTCAAATATAGGAAAGAGTATTTAAAAAAACCCAAACCCCAAAAACTTCCAATCCTAGCATGCTCTGACTACTTTGGGTGAAGAAATTTTTGCTTTTCCTTTGTGTTCTCACAGTGACTTATACTTAGCAGGCATAAAGTAATTTTTCTACTACTAAAGGATACAACACAAAGCTTATTTCAATCAATAGATTTATCTGTAAGTAGTTTCTGGTCTTTAATGTATTTGGTATTCATCTGTTTCATTGGAGCACTATGGATCTGCTTTATACCTTTTAAAATTCAGTACCAGATAAGGGTATCTCTCTTTAAACATTTTAAATATTACATAAAAATGAACATTTTAGATTAAGAATTTGTCACCATATGAAATGACAAATTGGCATAGTTGTTCCTATGGATCAATGACAGATTTTTTTTTTTTTTCTTAAGAAGCTTTTAATAACCGGCCTTGAATACACATCATAACAATAGCCAGTGAATAGCCAGAAATAGCCAGTGTGCAATTGACTGATCATTTGCAAATCTTCTGCAATAATTTTTTTTTTACAAAAAATAAATGGGAATAATTTTGATCATTTCTAAGAATTTCTGTTTGTGTTTCCAAAGCTCAGAGCAAAAGGTTTCTAAGGGACTATGAAATCATCATCTTGGATGCACCTAACATATGGTTCAATATAGGAATAAGAGCTGTAAATAAACAATTTCTATACAATAAAGTATGAAATACTTCTCAAAAGAAATTTCCTTAATATAATGATAAAATTACCTAGTTAAACAAATGATCTCAGAAACAATGTATGTTTTGTTTTAGACTAACAGAAATCTCTCATGCAGGATTTGTTTTCAGGTGTACATCAGATTGTTGCTATTTGAGAATATCATGATGTAATTAAACATTTTCTTGAAGGTTTTTCTCTGTATTGATTTTTCAAGTTTGCGGATGTGAAATTGTCTTCAAAAATATTTTTTCTATGTCTGTAAATCAGTCAGAACTGAGAAGGGTGAGAGAAATTGCATACATATTTTCACTTTGTTTATGTGATAGTATTCCTTGTACAATCACTGTAATCTTGACTAAAGTCACAGAGGAATGTTTGCAGAACTCTGAAAAAGTATTTCCAAAGTTACAAGAATTAACTGTGTGAAGCTGAACTATTCCAAGATTATGTAAATTTAGCTAATGACAACATTTCTTTTAAAAAGGGAATCTGGTGCGTGTGGTTAATGGTTGTGTAGTTTAGGATTTGCAGTTTGGATGCAGCAACCATTCTTTGTTAAGGATAATATACAACAATAGGAATTATTTTGGGTCTGCAAGTATATTGGCCTCAATATATTTTGAAGTGTAAAAAATCTTGCTCAGTAACATAGTAAAAGTCTCGCATAAAGTATTTAATGGTTATCATTGTGGCTTTTTTAGCTATAAAAAACTTCTGTTGGATATTTTCAGGTACTCATGTCATGGAAGGCTCTGGACGAATGCTGGTAACTGCTGTGGGTGTGAATTCTCAAACAGGCATCATCTTTACTCTGCTCGGTGCTGGAGGAGAAGAAGAAGAGAAGAAAGATAAGAAAGGTAAATTTCACGACACATACAGATTTTATATGTAGTCTTATGTAGCCAGAGCTCTCCTCCATTCTTAACAAATAAATACAATTTTTGAAACTTTGGGGGTTTTTGTATATATTTTTGTCATTACATGTCACACAGAAAAACAGCAAAAGCTGTTAACTGATAAATATATTGGGTAACAAGATGTCTTTCCAGTGTGAATTGCAGCCTCTCAGTGCATAATTAAATGCAAGGGACTATGTGGGCTTACTCCCAGTGCTTTGTCTTTACATAAATCCATACTCACCCAAAATGTGCTGAGGTTTTGCTCTCCTGCATTTACATCTATGTAGTAGTTTTGGTTTTTTTTTTTTTTTTCAGAAAAAAAGAACAAAACCTTGGTCATGAAAATAGCATCTTTCTTTGAGCTTCAAAAATACAAGAAAGACAAGATGTGGCTTTCTGCTAGCCTTTGATGTCAGTGACTGACTTTAGAGACAGTTTAATTTCTTGAGGTATAAAGGTCAAACTGAGAATAGGAAAAGACAAGAAAGTAGCAGTAAATTTAACAGAGCTTAACTCATATCCTGTATTAGTCAATGAAATCACAAAGTCTCATTAAACTTAGAAAAGTCTTTTCACTTTATTATAGTGTGATGTCATAAGCAATTGCTAAAATGGCTTGCACACTAAGCAGAAACGTGATTTAATGTGTGTCCTTTCCAGTTTTTATTCATACAGTCTTGTAAATTGTTGAAGTCTGCTTCAGAATTTTTGTTCCAAGTTTGTTCTAAGAGTGTTTCTCTTTCAGATATAATTAAGGGCAAATTAATTTTTTTTTTTTTTGACATTCCTACTCTTTAGTTGTTTTTCCCTATCAATAAAAAAGAGTAGTTGCAGCTTTACTGAACATTTTATGTAGTATCTGTCAGGCAGTGTGATTGCACCTTTTTTCATTTCCACACTTCATTTGAAGCTACATATTTGAAGGCCGAATTTAAATGGTTTTCATGACCTACAGTTTCCATTTCTGAACATGTTCAACAAGTGGTTGCACTTGACTCCATGTTTCTCTAAGGAAATTCCTTTTTACTTGATGAAAGGCTTCAAGAAATGTTTGCCATTTCATTTCCACACAGAAAGGCACAATACCTGCTAGGTCTGGTAAGTTCTAGGAACTTTAAAAGGAGAAAGACTGAAATTTCCCGAAGAAAAACTCTTTTCACGTCAGACTAGTTTTGAACAGTATAATCTAATCTTGTTATAGATAATGAAAGACTCCTAGAAATAGAGATTTCAAGATCTGGGAGCATCTGTGTTGGCAGTGTCAAAGGATATGGTAGGTGAGAAGAAGCAACTGAGGTCAGAAAGATGAGTGATGCACTGAGCTGTGCTCAGAACTTACTACCCAGAGACAGAGATTCTTACAGAGGTGTCTTAAGAACTTGTTGTGCAGACACTGAATCTAATTTGGTGTAGCTACAATACCAAGAAAATGCCTTCACTTCTTCTAATGCTGCCAGCAGCTTTGTGCTAGTGTGGAGGAGCTCCTGGGCAGAGCTGGCAGCAGACTGAGGCCCAAACCCAGATGACATACTCTCCTATATAAACCTGCAATTCTCTGAAATCCTGCCAGTCAGAAACAGTTGTTTCGGTCTTATGTGGGTGTATGCTCTTATCATTCATTAACATTTTGTAAAATCATCATACAGGTGTGAAACAGGAGGATGAACATCAGCTTCCAGGTAGAGTAAGAATTGTACCACATCAAATGAAAGGATAAGGCTTTTAGCCAGCAAGCTTTGGTGCAAATCAGGGTTGAGCTAATGATTAAAATAATTGTCTTTGAATCGGTCCAGTTAAATTAAAGAATGATTTCAAATTGACAGAATTGTTTGTGGCAAACATTGAAGTATGCACGCATTGTTGGTGTTGCAAATCTTAATGTTAAGCTTGAATAATCAGTTATTCTCCAGAAGAAAATTACAGTATATTAAATATTGGAAGGGGTGATTTGCTGTTAGCGGTTCATGCTGTGCTGGTTAGTGCAAGTATCCAAATGGAATAAAAAATAAGCATGAGTTACCAAAACAGTTTAAGTTATTGCCATCACAGTAATCAAATTTGCAATTGAAATTTTCATGAATGTGCTTGCACAGGGTGTGTATTCCAATCCTGTATGCTGTTTATTTTCTTCTCCCAATTTACCATTTGCAAACAGAACAAGACCATTTTTCTCGAATGATAAACCAGTACAGTGTGAAATAGTCACTATGGGTCAAGTACTGGAGAAGGTCAGGATTCATTATAGGACCTCTGGGTCCTGTTGTGAACAGTTAAGCAACAGAAACAAAGCAAAACTTATTCTATTATTTGTAGAGACTAATTTTTGGAACTCTAGTATAAAAAACCATCACGAAGTAGTAAAACCTTTGAGTTTTTCATCTTCCTGTTAGGAAAGATTTTTTGACCAATTTTTCTAATATGCAGATGATTGCTGAAAACAAAAGGAGGATTTTCTTTTTGGATCCTTTATTTCACCACGAAACAGGCAATTACATAATATCTATTATTTGAATTTTATAAAACTCATTATTCTCCTCAAGACTGTATTTGCCATTTCCTCATGCAGTGTTGAAAAGTTTAATGTTTCTATCGAGACCAGTGTTATGACAGGACATTGCTATGGCAGGACAGAGGCTGAGCCCACGTCAGACTGGGATGTTTCAGCAATAGTACATCATAATGCGCAATGTTACATAAACCACACAATAGGTAATGTAGTATGCTGCGTATTTTAAAACTACTCATGTGCTGAGTAGATTCATTAACTCAAGGGAGATATTTCAACCATTTTAATGCTTACATAACATTATATTAAAGTAAAAAATAATTATACGTAAAAGGACCAAAGCAATGTACACACTGGTGTGTACAGTCAGTTCTCACCAGCTCTGCTAACTTTGTTAAATGTCTTTCATGTTTATTTATTTAATTATTATTATTCCTCCTATGAGTTCTTGCCTTACTTTGTAACACTTCCGTAATGACATTTTATTTTTGAACGTTATGTTAATTAATTTAAATGAGATCGACTTTGGAGAAAACAAAGCCATAGTATTCCATGATTATTTTTTGTTTTGTCATGTGCATTTGTTCATGTTGTTATTATTATTATTTATTGGTTTTTTTTATCCATTATTGCTCAGTAGATTCTTCCCATCCCTCCTCCCACCCTCCTTCAGCTACAGATGGTGCAGCAGGTGCAAATGCCACTGATAATGCAAATACCAGCTTAGTCAATGGTACGTCAAGAACACCTAGCTTGTTTTCTTTGATAGATTTCTCTCCTGACTATCTAAGATTGCTCCTTCCTTTTACGAGCTGCACAGATGTTGTATGTGCATGTGATTACACTCTGAGAGATCCTACTCCATAAACTCTATTGTCGCTTATAAGAGATGCCACAAAAATGCTGGGACTTGCTTACTTGATTCACCCAGAATTAAGCATGGGAGAGGAAGTAGTAGGATATATGATCTGTTTGCCATTAATTAAAACTGCAAAAAGGGACACTTAAGTAAGACTGATTTCAAAACTTTTGAGTAGCCTTTATATGAAGTTTCACTGTAAAGCTCTTCACACGTTTGTCAGCATAGCTCTGAATATCACAATAACTGGATTGTATCTTCTTTCTTTCTTCTGTGGCACTCTCATAAGTATTCACACAATCTTCGTATGAGAAATAGTGCTGGGATCAGGAATCTGGCTCAGTTTCAACTAACAGTGTGTTAAGAATAACTTTTGCTGCTTTGAGCGTCTTTTTTGGAAGACACTGACTGAAAAGTTATGCTTGTGGGTATATATGTGCCCTTACATAGTGATCATCTCATGAGCCTGCCTGTATTTACTAAAAAGAAAAAAAAAATTACTGTAGTCCATTTTGACTTTCTCTAAGTACAGATTCTTGACCCCACTTCTTAGCATGCACATATTTCAGTATCTCTTCTAATACTCTAATTCCAGTATTAAATGGAATGGGTCAATATTAGTCTAGGGTGCAGCAGTGTTTTTCTGATAATCAGATGCACTAGTGTCTATTTGCTATAGAAACCTTTCCCTCTTACCAAAAGTAATTCTGATTTTCATGATGTTGGTGATAGAATGTTTTTTTTTTTTTCCATGTAGGTCAGTTGTTGCATTCTCTATGTGAAACTGGAGTTTCTGGCATAGCAACACCAAGAACTAAGATTTACTAGTCTAATACCTTACTTAATGGAGTGGCATAGGGAATCTTTGAGCCTGCATTTAAATAATTTGATTACAATTTTGAAGAAACATATAACCAGATTTAAAACTTTACTTGTGCACATTCTAGGTGTGCTGGTAAACTAGGATTTACAATCCCTACATCTCACTGCATGGCAGAACCCTGTATCATCCTGTTTCCAACACCCTGATTTCAGATTCCTTAGAGACCAAGAACTGGAAAATTAATGAGGAATATTTCATTCTCCATTCCTTATGCTTTATAATTCCAGTCTGCTGTGTGTAAAGCAAACATACATAGAACAAAGTCTTATCAGATAGCCTCCTTCAGTCCCACTGGAGTCTTCAGTATTTATTACGTTGATTCTCAGTCCTGCAAGCTGTTGAGTCGAGCATCTGCTTAAGTGCTTTGCTGGATAAGAACCACTGCTCAGCAACCTGCAGAAATGAGTCTGTAGTTGTTCTAACCTGATCTCTCTGTTAGCAGTTTTAGTTGCCTGGTAAATATTTGTTGTTTGGTCTTAATGCAGAAACTTAATACGGAAATTGAGTTCCCAGAGATACTGAATCAGTGTCTTAAAGTAAGCATGTGATTTTCCATTGTCTTCACTCCCAGCAGAAGCCATAATTATTGTCCCTGTTTATCTTGGAGTTGAGAGATACCTAGTCAATTCTTGTCAGTGCACAAAGTGTAGGAGTCAATTTTTTTTTTTTTTTTTTTTTTTTTCTGAGTATGTTTTCAACTCTTTTGCAGTGAGGTGGTTGAATTATTTCTACAGATCTTTGATCAACTTGAGCAGGAGATACTTTTGATAATTCAACTTTTTTGACATTGTGTTCAGAGGAGAATCAAGACTTGGCAAGTAGAGTTGGATCTGAGTGCTTTGAAATAGTCTGGGAAATTGCCAAAGTCTGATTTCTGTTTATACATATTTCTAGTTAGCAGTGACAATGAGTTAAAGAATACTTAAAATGTAAATATGTTTTGGAGGGGAGAAGAGATGGAAAAAAAAAGTTCTAAAGCAACAAAGTAGCTTAGAATATCTATGAGGTTCATGTAGATATTTTTTTCATCTGGATGAAATGAATTTTTTCAGTCATGTCTGAGACTTCTCCCAGACATATGACTGGAAAAAAAAAACATTTTTTGCCTAAGGTCTAATACTTCTGTATAGAAAATACCTTCAAATAAGACAAAAATATTATATACTTGAATAAGTACCTAGCTCACAAAATGCTCTTGCTTGTTACTTGAAAATCAACACATTAGCATTTCAAATATTGTTATTGTCTTAGTTGTCAATATACAGGTAACAAAAAGGAAGTGTTTTGTTTTCAGTCGGTGAGCTTGTAGTGATAAATTCATACAGGTGTGTGACACAGGCTGTTTGTCATCTGCTGTATTATTAGGGTATTATTAGAAATTCCCTTGGGCTCTAGTAGTTGAGATTAATATAGAGAATTGTTTGATGGTCTCTGTTAAAACTGTGAACAATATGTTCAGTTTTCAAAAGGTAGCAAATGAAGGTTGTGACCAGATCCAAAAAATTTACAGAAAGGTAATATAGTAATTCATTACTTTTAATCTAATTTTAAAATATTGTTTTTAGAAAAGGTAAATTTTAAAAAAATATATGTGGGAAGTAGCAATCACTGTTTACAGCTTATTTAACCCAGGTTTGATTTCCTTAGAGAAAGGAGTGCTTATCATTTTCCAATAGAGCACTACCCCATTCCTAAATCAGGATTTCCATGTGGGGTTATTGGTTTTTTGACATTTGGTACCCAAAGATTTTGTTACTTAAAATTATATTTAGTTAGAGAAATACCATACCAGCCTCCAAGAAACGTCTCGGCTGAAGTACTTCACATCCACTGTTAATTTCCCTCAGTTATGGCATATGGACACTACTGTTCAGTTCCTATAAAGCAGTTTTGCAGTTTACAGTTTTAATATATTTCAAAGTATTCTCTGCATTGTCAGTGAAATGATTTAGTGAGTGCATAGAACTATCATCTAAGACTTCCCATTTGATACGGTGGAATCAGATTTTTTGTTTTGTAATTAACCTGTGTTTTACTGGTGTATTTGCTCTAATATAACACTGCGTGAAAGAATTCCTAATTAAATCACTTCAGGTATGTTTGACATCACTTTTCCCCCTATATGTAGATTTGTAACATATGTCTGTTCTTACTAGTTGCAGAATATAACTGTCTTGGCATGAAGAGGGCTTTTAACTCATTTCTGTTGAAACATGAGACAATTTGGAAGATCTGTAGGGTATTTTATATTTTTTTGCCCCATCACAGCACATGAGAACATAACTTGATTAGCTTCTTTGCTTGATTCTGAGCAGTTCCTCCAGTGTATAAATGACTTCTAGTGCCAGCAATAGGTCTCTGTTATTTTGTCTCGTTGACTCTTCATAAAGGGCTGGAGGAGGTAAAGGGGAGTCTTTTCTTGGAAAGTTTATTTGGAAAAGTAACTGTCTTTTGGAGTAAGAACATAGGGAGTAATGGTGCCATGGGGGTGTTCCAAAAGACGGGAATGTTACTAAGTCAAAGGCAACATCCAAAACGTTTTATATTCAAAATTAAAACCTTCAAAGCAACTGCAGAATGTAAGTCATGTTAGGAGGCTCTATGTTCTTTCCTAAACCTTCTGATTTTTCTTCCTTGCTTAGAAAAGTGATTAATAAAACCTTAGATCAATTCTTCCAGATTTCAGAGCCCAAACACTGTTCCTTTTACTTACTTATATCAAAAAATAAAAGAAGAAAAGATTTGCAAAATTATGTGGAAAATATATTATGCTTTTGAGGACTTATATTAAAAAAACCCCAAAATTATCAATATATTAATAAACACTAATCCTTTCAATGTTTCTAAATAATGCACAAGAGTCAGAAAAGTGGGATAGAATTTCTGTTCCTAGCACTAACCAAGAGAAAGGATCTCTCAGCAGTAGTGATTCTGACATCTTAATTTCTTAATTTCTGTCTTTGTTCATAATTTATAACCAAGTGCAGGCTTAAAATTGTTTGGAACAGGAGGAAATAAATCCTGTACAGAATTCTTTTCTTTATCATAATTACCTAAATTACCTATTATTTCTTATTTTATCTAAATAATTGCCCTGTAACTAGCTATGATGACTCCCCCACATCCTCCAATAACCCTAGTGTAGAGCTACTGAGGTTAAGAATATATATACATATATATATATATGTATATATTTGAGTATCTGTGTTTGTGTTGCTTTTAATGATTGTCCATTTTGTGTACTGGTACTTTTGGGTAGACAGGATAGATGAATTGTTACTCTAATTCATTACAATAACTATGATACTCCTACTAAATAGCAAATACAGATCATAAACTTAAATACTTTGATATACGTGGAAAAAAAAAATAGTGTATTTTGTGTTTGCCAGTTCTGAAAGTAATGGGGGGGTTTTGTTTGCATTTTTTTTTTAAATTGAAGAGTCTACATTTATACTGCTTTATGGTTTTGAAACGTGTTTTGATAAAGTTACCACAGAGCAGGACATAGAGCAGACTTTTGGCTCTACATTAGTGTTTTCCAGTTCTTGAAGAAGACTTTATCCTCTAGCCAGAAATCAGAATCTTTAGAAGTGTTTTCTGTCTTCCACTAACTTTATTAAAAAACATCTACGAAAAATAGCCATTAAGCAGATATCAAGTTCAATTATGTGCTGTATGCAAACATTTTAAGGGAATTTCACGATGAAAATGAGCTTGGTTTTGTTCAGGTTCACAGATTCACATCTCATGGCAGAACGAGAGGCTTTGGAAGCCAGATATTGCCTTTTAAAAGTCATGTTGTAGCTGGGGTGGGACCAGAGTTAGAAATACAGACAAGTAGTTGATGCTAAGTGGTTTACTTTGATATATTTTAGGAATCCATTGGAGTACTGAGTAGATTATATGTAGCAAGACATGTTTTCCTTCTCTCTGATTCTGTGCTTTGGAATTTCCAATGCTTGTAGCCTGTTAACATGGGGTGAAATGCTATGATGAGAAATTTCTGACTGATTTGGCCAGTTTTGCTCCTTCTCAAAGGAGTGAAGATTTTAGTCGTCTCACAATTACAGAAAATACAAAGATGCAAGGAACACGTCTTAGCCTTTCAATTTTGCTACTATTTCTTCACAGCATAGAGTGAAAAAACTAATACATATGTTGCAACGTAATTTTTGCTGCTTTATTGTGCATGTCAGTACCAGCTGTACTATTGCAGGAAGTTGGAAGACCAAGACTTAACTGCTGTCATTTTTTTAAACAAACGCTAATGATACATTTCTTATTAGAATGTGTCAAAAATCCCACAAAGGTGTTTTAGCTCTTAATTTTCCTTAGCATTATTTATTGTGCATTATACATAACTGCAGAAAGAGAATGTCATCCATTTTGCATGTAATATTTATGAAACTCAAGTAGAGTTTTCCATAAGAGAATTTCATATATCACTGGGAAATTTTCATACACACCTTCAAATAGTGTATTTTCAGTTTAAAAAAAAAAAGGAAAAAAAAAAAAAAAGGACTTTGGTATGGTAAGATTGTATGTAGCTAAAATAATAAATTGGAAATTACAGATGCATTTGGCAAATCTTTCTTCAGGATAAATCTGAATAGAAGTTTTACACTTGGCACTTGTATTTACAAGAGTAACTTGCTAAATAATACTACCAAGTGAAGATGATGTAATGTTTAAATCACACATGATTTATATTTTTACATTTATATTTATTAACACTATTATTTATATTTTGTCTTTTACTAAAATTATGAATACAGTAAGAAAGTCATAGTTTATACTAGTATGTGCCAAAATTGTACCTGTGGGTTTCTTAAGTCCCAGCTCTCTGAAATTTCAGTTTAGGAATATTATTCAAAATCTACTTTCCGCTAGATTTTTTTAATTAGTTCCACCTTCTTAATTTATGCAATTTACTCAAAAATATCTGCTGGTATTTCGTATTTTACATGTTATGACACTGAACTTAACTGTAGTTCTTTAACTGTGTCCAACTAAGTTGTCCATACTTCTCAGAAAACGTATGATAACAATGGCTACTGATCATAAACAAATGTCTGTAACATGCTCATTACTTTTGTCTGCCCTTTTTATTTAAATTCCCATTTTCATGTTCTGTCTTGGGTGAAGATTGTTTACTGTCTGTTGTCTGTTGAAATTTTTCATCATATAGGCAAAATGCAGGATGGGAATATGGAGAACAGCCAGAACAAAGGTAATTTTCTTTCATATTAAGGAGGTTGTGGATTTTCTTTTTAGCGTGTAGTTAAATTCTGTTTAAAAATACAATGAAAGTTTGTGATTTGTGCCTGTGTGTAAAAATGGGGCCTTATTGTTCTAACAGAACGTTAAAAAACCCTGACCAACCAACTTCAACCCCCACTCCCCCACCCCCCAAAAAGGAAAAAAAAACCAACCAAACAAAAACAACCTACCAAAAAGATTGTAACTTACAGAATTTTGATATGTCAGATATTTAGGATAGGAGAAGGTCAGTATTTCTAATAAGCCATTCATAGACAATACGTTCATGTCGCAAAGCTCATTTGAATTCATTTTTCTTGTGCAAGTTATGTATGCTATGTATTGTTAGTGGATTTCCAACCCTATTTTTGATATGTCTTGTCATCTGTGGTGTTTTAATGGCATCATACAGACGTATTTTCTTTTGCAGGGAGATCGTAAAGCAATAGCAAAAGGAAGCTTTAAAGCCAAGAGGTTATTTAGCAGTGTAAAAGCATATTATAAGGATAAATAACAGGAAAGTTAAGACTCTTAGGAGTTTCTTCCTAGGAAGAAACAGAAATAAATATTTTACTTTGTCTGAAGCAAAGTTGTGGTTTGCTTTTTATTAAATGAGACACAGCTATCATGATTTCTTTAGAATATGCCAAATAAGTGAATTAAGCTATAACTTTCTCTTCTCAGATAATACTAAAGATTACAAAGGCGATGGATCAGAAACTGAATAGATAAACTCAGTTGTTAATGGTAAAAACTATTAAATAAAATTATACTAAGTGAATAAGTTTCAAGATTAGATTAATTATATTTCCAGGTCAAATAAACATGGTTTTGTACAATCTGTTCACGAATGTCAAAGCAAAGCTGTTTCATCTCATTCTATTTAATTCACTTATGTCTGTGTTCGATACAAAACAGACACCTACACATATATAAACTGGAATGGCATTGCTTTTAGAAAACATGTCTTTCTCTAATACTAAAAGAAAGTTTCCTTCTGTTAGCATTAGTGTTCCTTCCAGAAAGGCTGGTTTAGCCTTTCAGTTGGGTGTACTTTTTATGGGAGAATGATGATGGTATCACCTGGTAATCTGGTGGTTAAAGTTACTTGAACACTGAATGCTAAGGCAACTTTCAAAGTCTGGTATTATCTAGAATAGTGGTTTCCAAAGTGTGGTCCACTGGTCACTGAAGTGCCTGTGCAGTTGAGAGAAGTGGGACAAGGATCATCTGTGGAACCATGTTACCTGTGAAATGTTTTTATTAAAAGCCTGATTATAAGGGTGCATTGTCATCTATGAGAAATACCAAAATTTAGAGAAATATAGGCTATTTGCTAAAGTGTTTGATATATGCTATTCTAGGAAATCCTGCAGTCCTGAGGTACTGTTACTTGCCAAATCATTTGCAAGACATTAAGTGATATATATGTGTATAACACAGAATGTCATTGGTGGTTTAAAAAGATAAAAATAAAAAATCCATGGGTTTCTTGGTACTTGACAAAGGGCACAGTACATCTCCCTGTATGCATGGAGTGCACATGAGTATGTTTGGACATCTGTGCCCCTGCAGAACCCTACTGGGTCTCATTGGGGCATCTCTCTGCCATGAGAGTGAAGTGGAATTGTGTAATTCTGTGCACAGTTCCAATCCTCTGTGTTGCAATCAGACCCTGAAGTGGTGTTGCTGGTTGAATTCAGTAAGTATCAATGCTAAGATAAAAAAAAAAGCAGTATTGTAGTATTGGAGTAACAGTTTTGTTCTGCATTATTAGCCAAGCAGCAGGATGGGGCTGCTGCCATGGAGATGCAGCCACTGAAGAGTGCAGAAGGGGGAGAGGGAGATGACAAGGACAAGAAGAAATCCAACATGCACAAGAAAGAAAAATCTGTTCTTCAGGGAAAGCTGACCAAGCTGGCAGTCCAGATAGGCAAAGCAGGTATGACTGGATAACTGACCATGAAGCAGTGTGTTATACTAGCAACAGAAGGGTTTAAAACAAATTATTCTTTAAAGTTCTCAGCCTTTTTTTACTGCAATATTGAGAAATAGGTCATCATAATACTGTTCTAAGGATATTATGTGTTATTGAAGATCTGTTATTATTCTAAAACTTAGCTTCAACTGTCAAGAAACTGGAAGCTTTGGGCAACTTGGATCTTAAGGAATATTTGGATCAAAATGAAATGCAGCTTTTTTCATAGTCAATATTCCCAAGTGCAGTAATTACATATTTAATTTCCTCTCCCCCTAGAACTTCTAAGTATACACAGTTTCAGAATCTCTAATATCATCTCAAAACACACTCGCACACTATTTCCCTCTTATGGATTCTGAAATCATTCTGTTCTCTCTTAATATCCATGTTCCTGCCTTTTACCCAAATATGACACATCTGTTGACTCTTGTATCCAGCACCATCTGGTCCCTACTGTTATAAGTAGCACTTCTTCAACATGTAGGTAGAAAGTGAAAACCTTTCATAATGACATAATGTTCATTAGATGCATTTTTATCGCAGTATTAAAAAGTTTTTCATCTCTTGACTCAGCCTTTCTTGATTGAAGTTCTGCAACAAATTCCTAACTTTACCTCTGTTCAATCCCCTTATCCTTCTTCACCAGTCTGATTTTGACCCTTGCTTTTACTTCACATTCCTTTTTAGGTTCATTACACTTAGCTGATCACGTAACACCATGATGCCACTTCTGCCCCTTTGCCTGAGCAGTGCATGACTCGGAATCTGTGGTTGTCACCTATTTAGTGCCCAGTTTCATCTTCCTCAAGCTTCTCTGCTTTGGTGCTAGCTGTACAACAGTATGCATTGATACAAAAACACTTCATTTCTTACAATCATTAATTTCCTAGATTAAGTCCCTTCCTGCATTGCCTTCTGATACTTCTCTTGTATTTCAGCAGGTCATGTGAATATCACTTTTAAAGTAATTGCATATGGATTTGTAACCATAATGTGGCAAGTAATATGAATTAAATTAATTAATAGTTGCCTCATTTTATTTTGTCACTGGGCAATCTATGGGAATGTCTTGAATTATCACGAGTATGTGCCTGTACAATACTTTAATTTTTCTTTATCCTCTGGCATTTAGTGGTCTCTCTGACTCATCTGCTTCCTGTCAATCTTAGCATCCTTCAGCTTAGCAATTTTTTTTAACTTCAGTCAAGACATGAATTCACAGCATTCTTCTTTACTGTAGGATCTCATTAGAGAGAAATTAATTTATTCTGAAATGCAGGCTTAACTGCTTCATAGAAACCTGGCAGAGAGCAGTAATCATAGCAAGGCAAAATAGATGTTCTAATGGAATTTTTATTTGTTATACTCAAATCCAGGAGCTAAACTGCAGAGGAGGAATGCTATCTTAGCATAGCCTCTGTTTTTGGGAGAGTATATTCAGTCCCTTTTGAGAATTATGGGAAACACTTATTAGTGTCTCTTGTGCTATACTGTCAGTGTCGTACCTCTTAGGAGCCTCGCCTCATAAAAATATGCACTGTTTGCATTTGTCCCATTGAAAAGGGAAACCTTGGAAACATGAGTATTTATCACATTTTCAGGAGAAAAAATGTTAAAAACTGCTATGTGGAAAATTCTATAGTATTGCCTCGTTGCTTTCAGGCAGACACCTCAGCAGGCCTTCTTTAAAATATTTTCTACAGCACCATAAACTACAGGACACGCCTTTTCTCAAGCCTCTTAGGATAAGCTTATTTAAAAGAGAGATGAGTGTTTGAATATGCATAGACCAGTAATTTGTGAAAGGTGGAGGTTAAAAGGACAGATAAATGTTGTACCAGGCAAAGTAATGTATTAAATTGGAAACGCTTGGCTTTAGCAACAGCAGAACTCCTGCTGAAGTGGACTGAGAAGTTTTAAAAGCAGCAGTAAGGTAGTGCTTAAAAATTAATGCAGTATGATTCAGCTGTTCTGTCAGATTCGGTGTTTCAATATTCACTGCAATGTATGGCTGATGTAAATGTATTACAATAATGTTTTTCCTGCACTGTAAAATTCATCGTTATCATCATTATTGGCACTGCTGAAAAACGTCACGTACAAGAATAAAATTATTTCCTATAAAGTGTAGATTTCTAATTGCATATGCTTTTAGTAGTAATAATTTTTTATAGTAATTGGTTATTTCTGTTTTCAGGTTTGGTGATGTCTGCCATCACTGTAATAATTTTGGTACTATATTTTGCCATTGACACGTTTGTAGTCAACAAGAAACAGTGGTTGCCTGAGTGCACTCCTGTCTATGTTCAGTATTTTGTTAAATTCTTCATTATTGGTGTTACTGTACTTGTGGTTGCTGTTCCTGAGGGACTTCCACTGGCTGTCACTATTTCTCTGGCTTATTCTGTAAAGGTAAGAAGCATTAAAAATAATTATGGGAGAAAAATGCTGTTGAGTTTACTATTGAGTTAGTCTTCAGCTTTTATCAGGTGTGATGAAAGCTGGCCTGTAAATTAATGTGCTCCAAATATTAATGAGTGACATTTCTTTGAAGTCTAACTTTGCTTTACATTGAAAGTATTTTGGACAAAAATGCAAATATATACATTTTCTAATATGCATCTTTAAAACAATACAGTGCAGGAATATCAAACAATAGAAGTACCTGCCTAGCTTGCGAGCTTGCCAGGAATTTATTGAGCAGAATTTACTATAGTCCAGGCTTTTGGTAAAGAATAACATATAAAATTTTCACAAGGATCTGAAGTCTTCTACTTTTTAAAGAAATTAGAAATCCACTGAAACTTTCATGTAGTTTTCTAAAATGCAAATGCAGTTCTTTGTAGCCAATGGAAATGATTCTGTTAGGAAATTCAAGAGGATTAAAATGATGGATTACTCCATTATCTACCTGAGAATTTTCTCAGATTGTTTTAGCAACTTGGTCAGATGGGCTTTATTTAAACATCCTGAGAATCTCAGATGAAGATTTTGTAAAGTTTATCTCCATTTACTATGTAAACAAATTAACATATAAGCATTAGGAAGGAATAGCTTGATTTCTATGTAGACAAAAATCATTATTATTAGGAAAAAAAAAATGTATCTCAAGCATGGGATTTTGCTAATAAAGGCTGTAGCTGCCTTTATAATATTTTCTCCTCCTCCAACACATCCAGCAAGAGATGTGTATCTAGATTTGCAGAACCAAACTGCAATACAGCTTTGTGTCCAACCAGTCGTGATGTACTCTGGTGGAGTATCAGATGTTGTCTGACAGCAAGGGCCAGGTGATTTGGCACAGAATTTTTTAAATATTGAAAACATGCGAACAAAGGTAGCTTGTATTTCCAGGTTTCCTATGCATCTTGTGAAAAATATGCATTGTGGTGTTGGAGAACTCTGCAGTGGTGTTTTTTTTTCATGGGTGTGAGGGGTTTGTTTGTTTTTCTTTCTTTCCCTGAATGTATAGTCCCTCTGTGTGCTTTGAGGTAACATCCTGGCATTGGAAATAGTGCTAAAAGAAGGCCATTATTTGCTACAATGATACTGTTTAAAAAAGCCTGGTATCTTCAGTTTCTTTAGCTAATCTTTGCTGTTGTAGCTATTCCTAAAATGTATAAATGCTGAAAAAAAAAGAGGGACCTATGTTAGTTTATCAAAGGCAAAATTATTTCAAGGGTAGTCACTGCTTGGTTGTCCGTAACTAGGGCTTAGGTTATTGGCCTCGATTGCAGTTCTAGTTTAGTGAGTGGTACATTCTCCTGAATGGGACTAAATACGCACTTTTTTGCTTTTTATAACTGCCAGAGCAAATCTTGAAGGTTTTTTTTGTTTTGTTTTGCTTTATCTCAGAAAATGATGAAGGATAACAATCTGGTCCGCCACTTAGATGCTTGTGAAACTATGGGTAATGCCACAGCCATCTGCTCCGACAAAACAGGGACACTAACGACCAACCGGATGACTGTTGTCCAAGCCTATGTTGGTGACGTCCACTACAAAGAGATCCCTGACCCAGATTCTGTCCCCGCCAAAACCCTTGATTTGCTGGTTAATGCAATTGCTATCAACAGTGCTTATACTACAAAAATTCTGGTAAGTAGGCTTTTTCTGTCAATAAAATGAAACTCAGCAGAAGAACTTGCAATTTTTTTAAGCAGTGTTAATTCCTTAGCATCCTGTTGTTGATTATGAAACATTAAATACTGTTGAGGTCCTCAAAATGAGAACAGGTGCTGTAAAAATGATATATTTAATGCTTTTCTTTTAAGGATAGGGATGTACTTATAAATACAAGATCATGCTACATTTGAAAAACTCCTGCTGTTGCCAGTTTGGGACGACCCAGTTTTGGTGCAGGAAAATTTGCTAAATAACACAATTAGTTTTCACTGAGGCTTCATATGTGTAAAATTATTTCTGTGTATCTTAGAACTTTCAATTAATTCTCAAATAGGACAAATTGGGTTGCTTAAATCAGCGAGGTTAACAATCTTTATTCATTCTGCTTTCAAGTGAATTACATCCAGAAGTATTTTATTCAGTCTGTGAATGAGGGCAAAATGGAAATCTCCTGTTTTCTTGTGGCATTAAGTTCTTTGGTACAGAGCTAATTAAAAGGCTTAAAACTTTCGCAATTCAAATAGATTTGGTCTTTGAAAGGTCAAGCTTAATCTTAATATTGCAGAATACATTTTTTTTAGTTTATGAATATATGCGTTGTCCTTTTTATAGCTCTGTGCAGAGCTGTGTGATAGAACCGTACGTGCACTTCACGTCTGTTTTAAAAGTAGTTTTTAAAATACAATCCCGTAAAACAATTGGCATAACACTACTGGGTGCTTGAGCATATATTTAGTTTAATTCTTGCTGTGTACATATTTGGATATTAGCAATTGGAAGAAGAATGTTTAGAGAAACCTGAGGCAGATATGCCAAGTGTGTTTGTAGCGAAAGTGGTTTTGAGATGAATGCTGCTGAGGATCGTTTAGGCAGGGTCAATGTCTGAATTGAAGCCACAGCTCAGGCACCCTTCAGAAAGTCATCTGTGCTGTGGTCCTCTCACTCTGGTCTCACTGAAAGTTCTCTTGAAAGGGAAATGTGGGGACAACCAGCCCCTGAGGCAGCTTCAGCCTCTTCTTACATCAAGAGTGGACAGGGGATTGCACAAAGTCTCCATGACCTCAGGAAGATACTGTTAGTGCCCTCCTTCCAGCTGAAATCAGTGGTGTGAGGACACCTCTTCTGTGGCACTGTGGGGACAAACAGCTCTAGACAACTGAGGCTGGAGTGAGCCCTTTGGATCTGGAATCCAAAGAGTCTGAAGAGCTCGTGCAGTTACGCACCAGTTTCAGGTGTGAACATCCAGCTAGCAGCACCAGTTCCCACCTGAATCCTGGATCTTATTCCTTCCTTTTCCTACAGTCTGTTGTGGTCAAAATCAAAGAGGTTAGCTGAGAGGAAAGGTGGTCCTTCCATTCTCGGGTGGTTGAGCGTAAATGCTGGGTAATAGCTCAGTGTGGGTGTTTTATGGCAGGGGCTTTTTGGAACCTAATCTGCATATTTGTAAATTTTTAAGACTATTTTACTGTTGCTGGGTAAATCCTGCTTTATTATTAACACATGATAAGGTTAAGCACTTCCTTCTATAGAAAGAGGCACTGGAGCAGGCTGCCCCAGGGAGGTGGTGGAGTCACCATCCCTGGAGAAGTTCAAAAAACCTGTAGGTGTGGCACCTGGGGACATGATTTTATGGTCATGGTAGTGTTGGGTGGTGGTTGGACTTGATGATCTTAGAGGTCCTTTCCAGCCTTAATGATTCTATATTAAGAGAAATAGAAACAAACACCCTCAACACGCAAGCTGGGATTAAAACAAGGGAATAGAGCCACACTGGGATGAAGGGTTAACAGGTAGCTGTATAAATCTGTGAAAGCACGACTGCTGCAATGGTAATACAAGTCCCCAGCAGTGGTCCTGTCTCTACGGTGTTTGACTTTGGGAGGGCTCTAAGAGAACGTCACCAGTGATGGTAGAATTTTCCTCATTCCTAAGAAACAGCAACGTGGAGGCACGTGGGCTTGGTAGTTGGGTGGGACTGGCAGAGTGAGACTCAATGTCAACCATGCTTCATTTGTTTGATAGTTCGCTGTTTACTTTGAATGCTTGCTTCAAACACAGTAGCAAAGAACTTCGTTCAGCTTCCACACCAGTTCATCCTCTCTGGCTCTCAGAATGGATTTAGGTTTCTGAGTGATACATGAGAAGACATCAGACATTCCAGAGTGATGCATCTGTAGTATGAAGTTTGATATTCTATCTTTCTCTTTAGTCATAGTTTCCTTTGACTGAAAAATTTCTTGTCAATAGTAGTTCTAACATGTACCTTTGGTCTCAATGTAATTTGGAATTTTTTTTTTACTCTGGTTTGACTTCATTGCTTCTTGTTGAAATTAGTTATGTTTGCCTGTTAAAAAGAGGCAATATTTCACCATTTCAGTTCTTTTTGAGCTTTGCACAGAGACCAAGTCAGTGTAAAATAGGCAAATGGCTGAAATCCTCTGGAACCCCTGGTGCTGGACGAATATCAGAAGATTACTTGAACTTCTCTGTGTAAAATGGTTAATTTATTCTGTAACAGTGATCATAAGATTAAGCCTTGTGGTGTGGCCCCTACAATAATAACAACTCCAATAGCAGAGAAGTTCTTTTTATTCACTGTTCATAACAAGCTTAAGCTAAAGTTTAAGATACAAGGCATTGTTCTATCGACCTCATTCATTTTGAATCACAAATAAATACACTAAAAATACGCAAGGGAGTTGTTTCCAGGATGAAGTATGCAGAATTATTTTTCTAGCTGCTAATACTGAATGCATACTAGTGCACTCATTCTTAGAGCATATTTAATCAAATTCTGAATATCAGCCCAAGCCCAAAGGGCACGTGTGTTGTGTCGCTAAGATTGAATTTTACATAGTCTATTTTCAGTTATCTAGTTATGTGTATGTTGTAAATTGTGCTTTGTATGAACTTCTGTTCAGGGTGATCACATATGGGACCATAAAACTAGTTGAGATGCTCAGCTGAATGAGAAATATTCCCTCTTGCATTGTCTTTTGATTAAGGGGCAATTGAACCATTGATAAAAATACAAAAAGAAAATAATATCACTGCTTGGGAAAAGACTTGAATTTCCCTGAGAAATTAAACACAAATTATTCCAACTGAACAATGGCATCATTAAATATAGTTCTTTTTAATGCCTTCCAAGGATTAAGTTACTGAGTGAACTGATTTTTGCATTCCATTAGCTTCAGAGCAACTTTAATGCTGCTTTTATGCTGTTCATGTGAAGCTGTTCTCCAGAAAACCTTTCTTTTCCAGTATTCATGGTTTAGATAGCTTTTACACCCAGAAATAAAAATCAGACTTCATACCTTTTTTCATTTATATTGCAAAGCATTTCTTTCTCTGAAAACAAAATTTGCATTTTGGGGACACTTTGGTTGCACTCGGAGCAGAAATACATTGATCTTGAGTATCATGGAGCAATAATGAAACAGAGACTCCAAATACCAAAGGCAGTGATTTGAGCCTCTTCTATTGAGCTCTTGCTTGCATGTTCTGTTTTAATTAGAAAAGTATTTCTTTTTCTAATGTCCTGGAAACTGTCATGAGGGCACAGATGACACGCTTGCTGGATGGGTGTAATGTGCTCTTATTAAGAAGAGATCACAATTAGTATTTAGCTGAGTGATTTTCAGCACCAGTGGAAAAGACCCAGTTGAACCCCTTATTGTTAGGATCTAACACAGGCATTTCATTTGGTACTTGATAGGTGCCTAGGGAGTGAAAAAACTACTTATGCCCTACTAGGTGAATATCTGGATTTGCGTTGGGAGGGCTGTTTTCAGTTCTGATGATCTGGAGTATCGTTGGTGGCGTTCACACAGTATGTGGCACAATTCAGGGAGTGGGTGAGGATCTTGAAGGAAAAAAGAGAGATGTCACAAAAAATAGTGCAAAACATGCGCTGTGTTCCAAAGCTTCTGCCAGCTTAGGAAATGGAGGAAACCTGTGTTAGTCTATATGTTAGTAAATGTTAATCAAGTAATGGATGTGATCTCATAAAACTTTTGGAGCAAAAAGGCCTCTATTAGATACAGCCAAAAGGGACAAATGAAGGGGAAAAAAAAAAAAAAGGAATGTAGACAGAACAGAGAAAGCAATGTTTCCTGTTTCCTGTATGGCAGAACACCTGCATGTGACAACAAATATCTGTTTAAGAAAATAGTGAAGTTCCTAAGGTTGCTGCCAGCACCCACGTTCCAACCACATTCCTCCCACGGCCCTAGTTGAGGGTCTTCAGTATCTGCTGAGACAGAACTCTGCTCATGAGGCTGTAGGGATGGCTTTGAGACCCCCGAATAACCTCAGCAGGGAGGATCAGGGGTTCTCCACGAGCTTCACTGGAGGAGTTTTTGTGGGATAGAGTGATGGTGACCCTCCATGGGAGAATGCTGCTGAGGACACAGGCTGGCTGCAGAGGCATGTGGTACGTGGCAGTGGGATGGAGCTGCAGCATAGACACAGCCATAAGGATTTGCTAGAAGAGGAAGGAGGGGCTTCATTCGCCTTCTTGCTTTGTGCAATTAGTTTTTTCCTGGATATGTCATGACTGGTCTTATTTTAATAAATGGAAGAAAATTTCTAACTTCTTTATACCGAAAAGAGTTCAAGAGATATTGGCACAGAATTTTATTTTTACAAATAAATAGTTCTTTTGACTCATTATCTGATACAGAATACTGGAATGAATGCACTTCATACTTTCTTAGAGAGAAGGGATGGAGGGAGACTGGCAGAGCAAATAGCTAACCCATAATATATGAAGACCATAAGAAGAAATTTTGGTCTACAACAGTGAAATGGTAAAAGTAATGGAAATGAAGATTTTTCGGTACAGCTAAAGCAGCTGCTTTGCAGGAATAAATGAAAATCCACTGTGGGTATCTGGAACATGGATGTAGTAGCCAGTTGAAGGGTTCTTTTTATTTGTGAGGGATATATTTGCATCCAAAAGAAGTCCAATA